AAAAAAAAAAGAGAAGAGGATAGAGAAAGATAGCAAGTGAACAATAGAGGGGATGTTAGTGAGAAACAGATATGGTTTATTATCTGTTGAAGATGACGTGTATAGTATTCTCAACTGGACTGGTCTGGGAAGTATTTCATGATGGGTGAAGTCTTTTAACAAGCAAAAGGAGAAATAGTGATTGACTGTTTTAAAAAATTATAATAATAATAATTATTGGGAAATGCATGGAAAAGACTTTGAATGATAAAGCGGGGAGATCGATGCCTCTGTATTGACTGACATGCATGGCATTCCCTTTTGAAAAAGCAATGGAAGTCAATGTAAAGTTATATGTAATCCAATGTAATATAAAGAAGATTATGATAATAATAAAAAATAAAAAAAAAACACTGCTGTTAAGCCCTGGTCATAAGGCGCTGGACTCTTCATGGCCAGCTACAGTTAGAATCCCAGCCCCAATAGCTTGAATAACACACTAGGCACATGTGTACACATGACCCAAATCCTGAAGGGATGGAGAAATGGAGGAAAAAGATCACACTATGACAACGCCCCTTTGGGATGACACTCGCTAGTTCTCTCTCTCTCATGCAAGCATGTACATGTGTATGTGAGCACATGCACTCTCTGGCAATAAAAAAAATACCAATTTAAGAAATGTTAAAAATCTATTTTAAAAATAAAAGTACCCCAGAATGAATAAAGTATGGTATACATACAAGGCAACTTGATTTTATGAAAAACCTAGAAAAATAGGCAATTATAATTTCATTTTTAAAATGAGATAAAGTAAATATCAGCTTTTAATGTTTTCAAAGATCTTTAAGATGACATTTAGAAGATGTCCAACAGGTCAAAGCAATTACTGACATTTTGTTAGTATTTTATCTTTAAATTAATAAACTACTTATGGCATATGAAGTTTCTCCAAGATAAGGGATGTGCTCCTACAATAAAATTTTATCAACAGATTTGACACTTGCAGTACCAAAGGATGGGTGAACATTGTCTTAATGTTAGAGCTTATTAATTTCTTTAATAGGTCAGCTCAGCTACTTCAAATTTAATCTAATATTACATGCAGTTGTTACATGCTTACTATGCAAAAATGGAACAATTTAATGTGGCTTCAATATTTCCTTACAAAAGAGCTTTCTTCGAAGTATAACTGTTAATTTTTGGAAAACCTAGAAAGCTTTTCATTTACACTTATAAATCACAATTCTCTCTAAACCCCATAAATCTTTTAATATCATTCTCAATTTAGAAATTGCGGTAGTTCCTCTGTTTAACATAAACTCTATAATCCACATTTGATGTTTCTTTTATGAGAGTAGAATATTTAAGTATAATGGCTGATGTTTTTGATTTCCCCTTTTTTGTGAGTTATAAAAGTACTCACTTCATATTATCTTTTATGACATAATGCATGATGATACATCTATGTCTATAAAAATCAGTAAGTTAGAAGTTGAAATGTGTACAGATACAAATACTAAATTCCCACTTAGAGGAGTCACAAATAATCTACCTGAAGCATTGCCTCTGGCATGCTAAGAAAGCTTCTAACTGCAGAGAGCTTTATATTACTGTTGCTTTTACCAAACATTAACACCTCTTTAATAAGAACCCTGAACTGCTGGAAAGTTCTCTCCATAGTACATCAGATCCATATTATTGGGTCATCAAAAAAGTCATGCTGTATTTTTCTGATTTTCTATGCAAAAAGGCATCATGACTTTTCCCACCCAATATATACACTTTACTTTGAAGTCATAAAATCATCCAAACTATAAAATTACATGTAGGTATACCCCTTAAAAGCTTAGTTACCTTTCTTTTAGCATGTCAAACGACAACAACAAATTCTGTTCTGACCTGAACAACTTACTTACTGGAAGAAATTTTCCTGGTCTCATGCATATGTTCAACTGTCCCTTTTCTTTTCTTTACCTTTCTTTTTCTCTTCCACTCCCCTCCCCTCCCCTCCCCTCCCCTTCCCTTCCCTTCTCTTCCTTTCCCTTCCCTTCCCTTCCCTTCCCTTCCCTTCTCTTCCCTTCCCTTCCCTTCCCTTCCCTTCCCTTCCCTTCCCTTTCTTTCTCTTTTCTATTCTTTTCTCACCAGAGGGCAGTATGGTCGCCAGAAAGAGACAGAGAGAGGAAAAAGAGAAAGAAAGAAAAAGAGAGAAAGCACCCCCAATGAGGCACAGTCATGCCACAACACTTTTTTCCTTTCTTTCTCTATCCTGTCAGGACATTTTGGGCACATACACATATGTATCACAGCAGGGGTCAGGGTTCTCACTGAGGTAGGCCATGGGATCCTACTCCCTAAGCCCAGGGCTTAACCACTGTGCATGGGGACAGACCCACTGCCCTCTTTCTTGGTTAGAATCAAACTAACTCCTCTTTTCACAAAAGGAAGGGAGAGAAGGAGGGAAAATCATAAGATTGTGCTGAAAGGAGGGAGGGAAGAAAGAGAGAAGGAAGGACAAAACAAACAAGTTTAGCAAACATCAATAACGGACTGAATTCAACATTTCTTTTTTGAGAGGTTTTTGCTATAGGGCACATGTGCTCGCCAGACAGAGAGATAGAAAGCGAGAAATCACCCCCTGGGGGGATGGCCATGCCGCAATCCCTTCTCCTCCATTCTCCTCCCGGGATCTTGTGCACACACACACACGCGCCCAGCATGAGTTTAAGCCACCGGGTCTGGGACTCCAACCACGGTCGACTACGTGGGAGTTTAGCAACATAGCCATTATGCTAACTGCTGGTCCCGACAGAATTCAACATTTTAACCCTGGAGAAGTAGCATCATAAAAGTTGTCTATATTTCAAGAAAAAAAAAAGATTATGAATGAACTCAGGATTTACAAAATTAATTAGAAAAAGAGCCAGTCCTTTAAATTTCAAAATTATGAAGAGTATACATTTTCCCAATCCCTCCAACAGTGATCTATGAAAGATCCTGATAAATGGGCTTTCATTACAGCATGAAATCATGCAACACAGCTTTTTGCACTTTCCAGCTGATTAAACTCATACCATTTCAGAGCTAGCAGATACTTTATAGACCATATCAGTCATCTATCTCCTTTTTTAAAAAGGAATTATTTGTTTAATTTTATTTGTCATTATTATTTTTTTCCCTTTGCTGTTGGGTATGTGTGCTCACCAGTGAGAGAAAGAGAAAGTGAGAAAGTAAGCCACACCAGGACCTGAACCGTGGTCGGCTATGTGAAAGTCCAGCACCTTAACCACCACACCACCTGCTGGCCCTATCTAGCTCCTTCTTTACAAATAAGAAACAGAAGTCCAAAGATTTGTGATCACAATAAAGAAAAATCAGATTAGAATAAAAATCAAAGTCTCTTGACTCCATAATTCCAAAATGTGTTTTTTACAACAAGCTACTCCAATGACAGTAGATTCAGGAGACCAAGATGGTTCACAGGAGGAGAGAAATAAAGTAGAATTCAGAAAACTAAAACAAATTTGAGGTGCCAGCAGGTGGCGTAGTGGTTGAGAACACTGGACTCCCACATGGCTGACCATGGTTCAAATCCCCAACCTGGTGGCTTGCTTTCTCACTTTCCCTCTCTCTCTCTCTCTCTCTGTCCCTTTCTGTTCAAATTAAAAAATAAGTAAATAAATAAAATTAAATTAAATAATTCTTACGGGAAAAGAAAGAAAACTAAAACTAAATTTTTTAAGAGGTTCTTGCTATAGAGTGCATGCGCTCGCCAGAAAGACAGAAAGAGAGATAGAAAGCAAGAAATCACTCCCCGGGGGAATGGCCACGCCACAATCCCTTCTCCTCCATTCTCCTCTTGAGATCTTGGGCATGCACGCACATGCACCCGGCGTGAGTTTAAGCCACCGGGTCCGGGACTTGAACTGTGATCAACCACGTGGGAGTCCAGCGACATAGCCATGACGTTAACTGCTGGTCCCCAATTTTTGTTTTTTTTAGAGAAGTTTTTGCTATAGAGCACGTGCGCTCACCAGAAAGACAGAGAGAGATAGAGAGAAAGCAAGCAAGAAATCAACCCCCAGGAGGGATGGCCATGCTGAAATCCCTTCTCCTCCATTTCCTCTCAGGATCTTGGGCACGCACGCACATGCACCCGGCATGAGTTTAAGCCACCGGGTCCAGGACTCAAAATTCAGTCAACAACATGGGAGTCTAGTGACATAGCCATTATGCCAATTGCTAATCCCCAGTTTCTGAGACTATGAAAAACTTCCTGTCAAAGTTACGGAAAGCCTAGAAACGTAAACAGAGGTGTACACACAGAGACACTTACATCCACGTGAAGCCAGAGGTCGTGCCTCTCACAGATGTCAGCTATTTCATCCAGAGGATCAAAGGCCCCCAGCACGGTTGTTCCAGATGTGGCACACACAAGAAAGGGCGCTGCTCCCTGCAAGGAGGACCCACAGACAAAGAGGGTTGTCACCACCACCATCAACTCTGTCCGGTAGTAAGTACATAAAGGGTTATTAATCCAGAAAGGTATTTGGGGTTATTTTTTTCTTTTGGCAATCATTATTAATTTAATAGTGACTTTTAAACTCCATTTTGTAGCCTCTTGTCATATAAACAGGTTAAGAAAACCAAGAAAATGCTATGACAATAATAGTCACAGACAATAGTTCAATATACTGAACTGAGACATTATTATTATTAGTTTTATGTTCTCTTTCCATGACTTTTTTGTGCCATAGATTCCCGAGATAAAAACTGAATTAATGGGGGCCAGTAGGTGGCATGATTAAAGGCACAGGACTCCGGTATGGCCAACCATTGTTCAAGTCCCGGACCTGGCAACTTGCATTTTCACTTGCGCTCTCTCTCTTGATCTGGTCAAACTAAAATAAGCACATAAATACATTAGGTTAAATAAAATAATTCTTTTGAAAAAAAAAAAAAAACCCTGAATTACCTCAACTGTAATGGTTAACAGGCATTCTGTAATGAATTTCTACTTCCCAACCTGATAGTAATTTCTAATTCTTTCCTACAGAAATACATTGGGTCTTCATAGTGTCACCATTGTCACCCTTCTTGAAAATACAGAGACAGGACTGGTAGACCAGGACTTGATTCTAAGGATAAGTATGTAGGTCCACCTGCTTGTCTCCTAAAAAGTAAGTGCAGTTACAAAACAAAGAATGTGCTCCGGGCATCCCAGGGCAGAAGGCAACCTTACTGGGATACATTCAGCAAAATGTACCACATTTTTAATTTCATGACAGAGAAATTCAATGGAATGTTCTGGAAAAGAGAACCTACATCATTCCTACCATAATTACTTCCACATCATCTTGAAGAGTGAACGAGAGCCTATGGGGAATGAGAGAGAAACGAGAGAATCTGGGCATACACACAGAGATCGGGGGGATCCCAGTCAAACTGGCAAGGCACCTTGGTTCTATTAAGGGACTTAAAATGATGGGGTAGAGAAAATGCATGAGGTTGTTGCTAAAAGGATGTAGCCCAGCATGGTGGCAGAGATGTGTCATTCGCTGGAGAAATGCTTGGGAGGGAAAACTTGTAGCCACATGTGGGATTGTGGAGAGCAACCAGAATTCTCAGATTCTAAAGCACCTGAGGAAAACATGACAAAGAGTGCTGCCTATAAAAGCCATTCTACCTCCATTATGTAGGAAGCCATTTTCCCTTTAGTTTTATTAGAAAATACATTGTTATTGCAGTATAGTTTTATGTCCTTTAAAAACAGGGATTGTTTTTGAACCAAACTCATTCTGTTTAAACAACCTTTGACAGACAGATGGTATTTCTCAATGGAAAGTGGAGCACAGCAAGAATACTTGGTCTACATCTCTAAATTGAGATGCATACAATCAAACGGACGATATATCCTGAGTCCATTTGCATTTTGGAATCCACTGTACCCAAAATTCTTAGAGCCAGGCCAGCAGGTGACAGAGCCCCTGGGAAGCCATGGGTTTTGGAAATTCTTCTCTGTACTCAACTACCAACAGACTATGTCTTTATCATGTCAGTGACCGAAATAAAATAAGACCAGATTTACATCTATCATTAAAAGCAATAGAAAAAGTAATTTACTAAAGCCATTTAAGGTATCTTTAATGGCTGGGCTTTCCTCATAAACTAGATGACATCCTGACAGTCAAGAGAAAATACCTATGCAAGTTATTATAGCCTGTTAATGAGTTTTCATTACCTTTAAAAAAATCACTATAAATATCAGGCCTAGAAATTAAACTTTTGCAATCTGGATTTAACCTTTTAGATTTCTTTCTTTCACATATCTCATGTTGTTAATGAGAAAATCCAGTAGAAACAGTACTGACTGCATGCTGCTAAAGAGCTGTATTCCCTAAAACACTTGTCATTTCAAGTCATACACAAAAATACCTCCAAATATTCAGTGGTCATACTATTGGGTTGTTATAAAAGTCACGACACATTTTTGCATAGAAAAACACGTCATGGCTTTTCTGACAACCCAATAATTTGGCTTGCTATAGTACTTTAAAATTTCAGATGCTTTGTGGTCTCTACCATCTTTGTAATGGCATCAAGTAAAGGTCATTGCTCAATAGTTTTTTAGTGGACTGTCATTGGCCAGGAATAGAATCCCAGCAGAAATGAAATGAGCGCACTACTCTCTACATCTGAAATAAAACTACTAGGTCTGAAGCTACTGAAAAAAAAAGTAAACTATTCATTGTGTATTATGTCAGAATGGATGCAAATTTTGTCCTTGGTGAATCCAAACTCCGGTTATTAGCTGACTTGAAAGAAAACTGAAGAGACCAACTAACTCTAACCCCACTGCCCTACTTTTGAATATGCCTCAAGCAATTTTGACTTTTAAAAACTTTTGCAAGTTCTCAACTTTAGAATGATGTCAATTTCATGTGCTTCCATTGTCAAAACAAACAAAAACGTGAGCAACAAAAATAATAATGACTGCAGTGAAATAAAAACCACTATACTAGAAATACAAATTCTAATGTATTTTTTAAAAATTGGAAGCCATCTTTAGAGGATGCTAGGCAACTGACACTGTTTTAAAAACTGATTTTAAAAAAAAGGTGAAAGAATAAAACATTTATTCTGCCTTGTCTATGCAAATCATTTCTTTAGGGAAACAAAATCAGGATGAGATAATATTTTTTCTTTATAGTAGAATGTCTTCCAATAACTACGGAAGGAATGAGGGAATGGATTAGAACATCCTTAAGGAAATAATGAGTCTAGACAAAGTCCATCAATGGCAATAAAGTCTAGGAGGTGAGAGATTTGACAGTGGGCTTTATAATGGATGAATGACAATACCAGAATCTACTGATCAATTGTCATCACAGAAGAGACACAGAGTGTTTCCTGACAAGAGGCCGAAATGCTACCCATGAAGCCTTCCTGGTAAGAAATCCAACTCGAATCTTACTGAGTCTCAAGACCTAACTGAAAAATTGTAGAAAATAGACAGGGATGTATACAGGGAGTACTTAGAGTTCTGAATTCTTTTTTTTTTTTTTTTTAAGATTTTTACTATAGGGCATGTGCGCTCGACAGAGAGACAGAGGGATGGAAAGCAAGAAATCACCCCCCACAGGAGATGGCCACCTCGCAATCCCTTCTTCTCCATTCTCTCTCAGAATTTTGGGCATGCATGTACATGTGCTGGGCGTGATTTTTAAGGTGCCAGGTCTGGAACTCGAACTGTGGTCGACTATGTGGAAATCCAGTGACATAACCATTACACCATCTGCTGGTCCTAGTCCTGAATTCTTGATGTACAAAATCTATAATGTGGAAAACTCTATAAGACAAAGAACTTGGTTTCTTCAACAAATCATTTACAAGGGGAAAAAAATAGAGGATAGAATAGATTTGAAAAAATTTATATGACATATCAACCAAATTTAATGTGGAAACTTTTGTTTGTATTCTTATTCTTTTTGCCTGTTTGTTATAGTTTACTATAGGGCATGTATACTTGCTGGAGAGGGACAGAGAGGGACAGGGGGTGAGAATCCCCCACCTCCAGGAGGGATGGCCACACCACAATCCCTTGTCCTTCATCTCCTCTCAGGATTGTGGTCATGCAAGCATATGTGCTCGGCTGTTCCTCAAGTCTCTGGGTCCAGGACACAAACCACGTAGTTGACCATGTAGGATCCAGCTACCTTAACAGCCATGTCTCCTGCTGGTCCTGAACCCTTATTCTAATAAACCAACTATTAAAAATTTTTAAAAAGCAATGGAAGAAATTTTAAAATAGACAATATTTGATGATGTTAAGAAATCAGTGTTTTTAAAATATAATCATTAACTATATATATATATGTATATATATATACATATATATTTATAAAATCATGATATTATATGTCTCACAGAAAATCTATATCTTTTACGGATATACTCAACTATAGATCAAATGCTATGATATCATAAGTTTGCTTCAAGTTTGAATCCAGTGGGGATGGGAGGGGTGGGAGGCAAACGAAGCATAAAGGAGCCTAAGCTACTGAGTGTTGAGTTTCATCACGGGCATATGGCATCTTGTTATATTAATTAAGTACGTGTTTGAAATTTTCTGTAATGAAAAGTTTAAAATTCAAGAGAGAAAGAAAGGAAAAAAAAATTAAAAAAAGGAGGAGGGGAAGGAAGAAAAGCACAACTAGTGTTCCCTACCAGAAGCATGAATGACATAATGAAAGTTCTTTTTGATAGGAACTCCTATGGAAGATGATAAAATGAAAACCAAAAAATAATATGTGTGGTGCAAATACTATTTGAACAAACTCTTCAGAACAATTTAAACTGTTATGTAGAATTTTACCCATGAGTCAAAGAGATCTGGTAACTACCAAATAAGTATCAAATCCAGTTGTTATTGGAATATTAAAAAATAATAAATATAGATCTAAGGACACACATCTGAAACCAATACATGGAAGAATTTATAAGTACACAAATCTGTACCAAATACCGGTCAAATATCCCTTATCCAAAATGATCAAAAATTTTGGATTTCAGATTTTTTTTTTTTTGGATTTCAGCATATTTGCACATACATAATAAGGTATCTTGGGGATGGAACCCAAGTCTATACACAAAATTCATTTGTGTTTCATATATGCTTGGTATGCATAACCTTAAGGTAATACTGTACGATATTTTTGAATTGCCGCATATTGACTGTAATGTGTCACTTGAGGTCAATTTTCCACATGTGGCACCATGTTGGTGATCAAAATGTTTTGGTTCTTGGAGCGTTTTGGATTTTGGATTTCTTTTTTTGGATTAGGGATACTCAATCTATATAGTGACCAAGCATACATCACGACAAGGTAATTTTTATAAAACTTTGGAGAAAATATAGAACATAACAATAGAAATATAATATTAACACTTAAAAATATTAAAGAATCCATGCTTCTCAGACTGTGAACATGTAGGACGATAGACATACTTACATCCCAGCTCAGAAGCTGGGCTTTTTAGTTTTTCAGCAGTCCCTTATGACTTTGTTGCTACCTATTGAAAAAGTTATCGAGAACATTCTGAAACTCATCAACAATGGAGGCAGTGATGGGACGGGAGGGAAGTGGTGAAGGAAGTTCACCCAATCTAGCAGGCTTCTGAGTCCAAGAAGCAAAACAGCTGGCACCAAAAATCATAATGCACTTTTATGTGGACGCACCTTTTTAAGAAGCAAGTATCGGGGCTGGGCTGAGCTGGAACACAGCAGGGGACCAGAGCCATGCCTTCTCTAGCAATGAACACATTAGCTTTAATATAGTCTAGCAGCTAAAAAAGAGAGGATGTTCTGGGGTGATAGTAATGGATGGACTTTTGGGGTGGAAACAATCTGGGTGGATAGGTGGATCAGGAAATCAGTAATGTCCTGAATACAACACAAAACCAACTGGTTTGGCCTATACATTTCCCATGAGAAGTTACACAGGAGAGTGGATGCTGGGGCCCTGTTGGGAGATGCAGGGTTCACCCTTAGGGCTCATTATAGCCAAGAATCCTGAACACGGTGATGTCAGTATTTTAATGAGCTCCGGCCACCTGGGAATGAGAACATCCGAGAAACTCCACAGAACATGGAGGACCAAGCACCTGGAAATAGAACATCTGTAAATGAATCTTCCTGTTTTAATTCCAACACGCTCTCTTCTCTCTCCCACATGTAGAAATGGGTTTGGCTGTTTACATTCTCTCCCTCTTATTCTAGCTCTCATACCCAGACACACACATCTGTTTTCTTTTCCTCTCTTTAAATCTCACCTGTTTTCTGGCTTGCCAGATTTGCTTCTCCAATTCCGCAGGTATCATTCTACCTCTAAGGGACACAGATGTGAGACTTAAGGTTATGTTTAGTAGTTAACAGACAACGGTACTATTTAAACAGTAGTGCCCTCCACCCACCAGGCTTCCGCATCCTATCCTGTTACCTTCCGTCTGTTTCCACGAAGCACACGTTCTCAGTACCGATCCCAAGAAAGGAAGCTGCCTTCTTCATAGAGTAATGGCACTGATGATAAAAGTGCAAGAGGGGAGGGAGAGACATGAATACACAGCACAATAAAAGCTTAAAATATTGCTTGTTACCTAAATGAGTAAAGGTCATTATGGCTGAGCACAATCATTGAAACGTTATTATATAAACGAAGAAGGAAACAGTAATGCAACTGAGCTCTTTAGCATAGTGGTTGAGAACATTGACTTTAGGATCAAAGAAAGCAGGATTGAACTCCAAGTTCCCCCAGTTACAGCTATAGAACCTTGAGTAAGTAATAGACAGTCTCAGAGCCTCAATTTGCTAATCTGTAAAGTGGTCATATTAACAAACCCGACTGTACCTGTTTGTTATAGAGTGAAATAGGTTCCTATACACAAAATGTTTACTTAGCACAGAGCCTGACACTTGGAACACACTGTATAGCTGGAGATTTTCCACAATGGTGAGAAAAGAACAGCTGAGCTGATGCTACCAAGAAGACAGTATTAATGGCAAGTTAGAATCTAGTTCACTGCTGACTTGAAACCCTCAAAAGACAGAGCAAGACTCTATCCCAAAGATTGCAATCACAGCCTAAAGAAGATTTTAATTATTTCCAAGAGCAAACAATGGGATGTAAATGCTGATCAGACACTTGACCAACTTGTTTAATATCGAGTGCAAGGGTGAAATTTGACACAGGAATGTGGTGACCATCATAACAAAAGTAGTAATTTAGAGATCGCTGACTCAGCTATGGCATGAATGAGGTTAGGCCTATTTCTTTTTATCGGTTTTTGCCTTAGGGTATGTGTGCTCACCGGAGAGAGACAGAGACAGTGAGAGGGAAAGTGAGAAATCATCCCCCAGGGAAGATGGCCATGTCTAATTCCCTTCTTCTCCATGCTCACACATGCCCAGAGTATATTTCAAGCCTCTGGGTCTAGGACTGAAATTGAGGTCAGCTATGTGGAAGTCCAGCAACATAACTGCTATGCTATCTATCAGCTGGTCCTGAGATTGGGCCTACTTCTTATTGATAAATATTAGGTTGTTGGAAAAGTCATGATGTATTTTTCTATGTGAAAGTACATGGAAAACCTAATAGTAATACGTGCTTTAGATCTGGGCCTTTTTCTTCAGTGCACGAAGCCTATGAAATAATTAGCATGCAAACATTGGCAACGTCGCTTTTTATACATTAGTGAGGACAGGTGGTCAATTAATTCTTTTTCATGCCAGAAAAATGAAGGTGCTAAAGGACATTATTGTACCAAAAAAAACTTCAGTAATTTAATTTGTAGGTATGAATACATTAAAAGAGTAGTCATGCCTTCACACTTAACTTGATATATTCCCTCAAATGTGGTAATTTTTTCCTTCTTTTGTCAAGAGAGTTTTATTGGGAGCTCTTTTTTTAACTCTGTTAAAAGAAATGCAGAAGTAACACCATCAGGAAAAAAAAATGAAACCACCTTCAATAATTAATTTCCAAATATCAAATAGGACACGTCCAAAATGCCTGTAGGATGCATTTATTTCCGGTTGTACAGGAACATATGCATATAGGAGAATAATAATGTACCTGAAAACGTCATTAATTTACTACTTGCCACATCAGCCTACCACGGTTGGAGGGAACATGCCTGCCACCGCTGAGGTGAGTTATTTCTCACCAGAGATTTGGGTCTGGCAACCAAACAGTTATTGATTTCATAATGATAAATGTTAGTCTCTCCCACTGATATCTGACTATAAGGAAAATCACACTGTTCTACTCCTGAGAAATAGCAAAATACCTCCAACCAATGGTCCTGTGGAATAAAAAACTTGTAATCAGAATAAGAATAGCTTTGGTGGTGCAATATTTAAGTTCCTCGGGACAAAGTACAGCCCAATGTCGGTCCCAAATGGGTAGGGAGAGATAAAAATGTCTGCAAAACTGAAGTCTAAACATCAGAAAACATCAGAGAAGGAAAGGAGCCCTGGAAGGGGGGAAAAAAGGAGGGTGATGCTTCAGACATGCCAAATAGTTTCAAGGAAAGGAAAAACCTAGAAGGCTGGAATTCGGAAGTAACAACTGCATTTAGAAACAAACGATCGCTGTTCCCATCATTGGCAAAAAGATAAGTCAGTGGTTCTAAGCCCCAACCTCCCTGTAGGTTTCATAAATCTACAGAAGAAGCAGAAATCTCAGCGGGTGTTCCTTTCTACAAAGATAAAACAGCAAGTGCCTACAAGAAAAACAGCAGCGAACTGAAGTTTTACTTTCTGGCTCCTGCAAGGATTTTTTTTTTCTATGACCTTGGGTTTCTCAATGAACTGCATTTCTCTCCTCAATGTACACTGGACCCTGGACACTCCAACGCCTTCTGCTCCTGACTAATTTGATGCTCAAATTAGCTAGCAGGGAGAGCAGGGTTTATAAATGTTACATTTTTACTGATGAAGAGAACATCCAGGGAACTTTTTCCCAAGAACACACAGCTGGTTCAATTCTGAAAGAGATCAGAGCTAGAATCCAGGAAAAAGACTCTAGCTTCATACTCTGCAGGACACCCTAAGAAGCACCTGCTTGCCCACTGAGAAGGCCTGCCATAACATCCCAACCCTGTCCGTCCCACCTGGCGAGCAGGGGGAAGTGAACAGGGCACCAGGCTGCAGCATGTAAGGAGGTATGACCCTGAGACATACACCCTCAAAGTCTCACTTGCCTCCCCCTAGGCCCAACCCTGCTAGAGAGGAAGGAGGCTAGCTGATGCCTGCCTGGGAGGTAAGAGTCTTTTCATCTTCCTTTTTTAGTGGCAGACAGTGGTCACTGCTTCATGTGGATTCCAAAAGTGATTGGAATGACCAGGAACTTCACAAAGGGAGGGTTTCTGGTCACCCAAGTAGTTCACATCTAAGTGTTAACTAGGCCCCAGATGCACCCCTGTTATTGTTTTTCCCCAGAAGGCATTCATCTTTGATTGCAATTTAGCGCTGGAGAGGCTGCCTCCGATATGGTGACTCATGCAGGTCTCTGGCAGTTCAATTACAATAAAAACCTGAAGTATGCAGAAACACGGGTACATACACTCGGTGTGTGATGTTACAATGCAGAGATGGAGTAATCTGGGACAGGTCGAGAAATCCGGGGGCAGAAAAACTGTAAGTCTGCCTAATAAAACTATAGGGAAAATCATCCCTGGGTCATAGACTAGTCACGAAAAGGGTGGAGGGGGTAACAGATTAACATAGGGTTTAAACTTCAGTAACACTGGGGCCAGCAGGTGGCATGGCAGTTAGCGGCACTAGACTCCCACATAGCTGACCATGGTTCGAGTCCCAGATCTGGCAGCTTGCTTTCTCATTTTCTGTCTCTCTCTCTCTCCCACTCTGTCCCTCTCTGGTCAAATTAAAAATAACAAATAAATAAAGTTAAATAAAATAATTCTTAAAAAAAAAAAACACTTCAGTAAAAACAACCTTTCTAAACCTTTATTAAACTAAATTTTTTTTTTTTTTTTTTTTTTTTAGAATGTGTAGTAGTGAAAGTGGTCATTGAAACATAAGTGAAAATAATGTAAAAGCAATGACCTGAGTTTCTTGTGGGGTGAGGGGTTTGGGAGAACGCACTACAAAATAGTCCAGATGAGGCCCAGATATGCTTTTGAGGCTACCAGGTACTGAGACTGGTGGGATTTTTCTGTGAAATTCACATCTAGTTCTTGATTTTTCTGGCTCTAACATGTACCGGCATGGTAGCCAAGACCTACATTTTGTCTCTTTTTCAAAACACAACAAAAAATTTAACTCTGGCCACAACCATGGGGGGTTTCCATTTCTTTTCACTCCCCATCTACCAGCCACGCCTGTGTCACTCATCTTCCCTAGGCACAATCTTTGTCCTAGGCTTCCACACAAGTCATTTCCTCTTTCCAGGGCAATTATTTTAGAAAAGGATTCTACCAAGTTTTAAAACAAATGAAGAATAAACAAGACAAAATAAAAACACTCAGCTAATAACAGGGGCCCTATTTCATCAGTTTTCTGCAGCTCAGAAACAGCAATCCAAACACAGAAGAAAGTGCATTTCTGCTCCATGGAGGTCCTTCGGTCTATAATACTCCGTGTTGGAAACCAGAGAGGCAAACTTACTCCATAACAATCCCAAATAATCAAATTTCCCCTAGCAGTTCATATTCCCAAACACTCGTCCGTTGCTACAGAAAGAAGAGCTTAGGAAGAAGGGCCTCAGGTAGCTGAGTTAAGAATCCCAGACTAAATGGGACCAGCAGATAGTTACTTAAATGGACTCCCACGTGATTGACCACTGTTTGAATCCCAGACAAGGAGACTTTAAACTCATACCGGTGCATGCGCATGCATGCCCAAAATCCTGGAAGGAGACTACAGAAGAGACTGCAGTATGGCCATCCTCGGTGGAGGGTGATTTCTCCTTTTCTGTCTCTTTGTCTCTCTCTCTCTGTCTCTCTGGTGAGCACAAATGTCCTATAGCAAAAAAACTCTAAAAAAAAAGAATCTCAAACTAAATGAATCTTCTCAGCTGCCTCTCACCACCCAATTTCTGCCTTGTACTTAGCACTGAGTTAACAGGGATATGAAGAAAGGAGTATTCAGATTTTTTCCAACAATGGACCACTTTGTGTAACATTTGTCCTTTGCAAAAACAAAGTCATTTTTACTCTGAGAAGAAAATAACAGATACAGGAAAGTCCCGCTTCAAATAACAAAGAACTTTCAGATTTTGCCCACCTCACATTTTTGACAAGAGACCTAGAATTATCAACATGCTGTAAGGAGGCTAATCTAATCCCGCCAGGGACCTGGGGAAGAAGCAGTGACAGTGGACAGAGTCACCCGCTGGAATCGCACAGCGAGAGAAAAGAGAAAACAGAATCCCTTCCAGAGGACACTGCATTTAAGCTGCACCGTCCACTTCCACCCACCTTATTAGAGCTGGACCATTCTCCTGTGAATAATAATAGCTACCCTTCTTTAGTATTATGTGCCTGCCAGGGTCCAGCCTCGGCAGACCCAAGCTTTGCTCATAGGTCAGGGGGCATACAGAAGCAGCCTTGCCAACGTGTTGAGCCAACCAAAGCTGTGCTCAAAGGCCGAAGGCTCAAACAGATCCTGGAGCCCCACCAAGTTGGACTCCTCCATGTGCCTGACCCACTTTACATGCAGTAGTTCACTGAATCTTTGCAGCGAACGTCATTGATAACCACATGTGGTGGCTGGGTTGGTTGTGTGGCCTCGGTGGTTCACTGCGTCCTGTATCCATGCCCTTTGCCCTGTGACTTTGTGGCAAGCACCTGCAGAAGTGGTGCCTACTTCCCTAAATCTTGGATCTGGAGTACAGACGGGACTTATTTTGCCAAGAAAACAAGGCAGATGTTATGCTGTGCCAGTTCTGAGGCTAGGACTCAAGAAGCCTCGTGTGTTTCCATGCCGTTTTCCCTCCACACCATGGCCATGAGAATGAGCTTAGACTAGCCCCCTAGTGGATGAGAGACACACAACCAGAGAGGAATTACTGCAGTCACCCCAACTAAGCCATGCCCCCTGCCAACCCTCAGTCAAACAAGAGTCCTGCTGAGAGCAGTGGAATTGCCCAGCTAACCCCAGCCTTGTGTTAAGATGCTACTGGTTTTGGGGATGATGTGTTAGTTACAAGAGCTAACTAATAGACTCATTTTTCACAAACTAGGAAACTGAGGCATAAAAAAATTAAGCTGCTTTAAAAAGTAGAAGGTGGATAGGGATAATAATAATTAGAACAATAATAATAATAATAATTAGAACAATTCCTGGAATATATAAAACAGCATGCAAGGATAGTCTCCCAGACATGGTGAAGTATCCAACATACAGTGAAGATATGATAAAGATTTTTAAATGCATAGTCTTGCAAGTCCCTATAGGAATTCAAATGTAGAACACTTGCACTGACAGGTCTTGCTCAATAAAGAGGAATGAATTTTGGGGTCAAAAAAAAAAAATAAAAGAGGAAGGTGGAGACAGGAATTGAATCTAGGCAGCCTAACTCAAGGCCCGTGCACCTGCCCATCATCTCAGCTCCTACTTCAGTGGAGAGGAAAATGAGAAAGACGCTGTGACCACATCCATTGTGTGTGTATGTGATGTTCATTGCTATTAAACATCTATTTTTTTGACAAGGGAGATATAAATTCCTTATATTAGACAATCAAAGCAATACATTTTACCAAAAACAAAATCAAAAACCAGTGACTGGAAGGCATAGCAAAGATTAGTAGTGATCACCTACATTCTAACAAATAAGGCACTCAATAAAGAGATTCCCAGAAAGAGATAGCACTTTCAAATGAAATGTTCTCTTTTCTCAAAGAAACTGTTACAGACTATAGGTTTTGAATAAAGGCATTGTACAAGACTGGCCAGCAAGTACAATATCGAGTCCATTAGAATTTTCCTTTATAATGAAAGATTTTCTTTAGACTTTGGCATATTAGTCACACATTATGGGATAAAAATCACATCAGGAGTCCTCAAACCAACAAACCCACTTAAATAATGCATTCTAAAAAATCAATACCTGGTATCAAAAACAATTTTTTTTTCTTACCTCTGCAGAAGTGAAAAAGATTAATCTTGGTAACCCAGACAGTCCCTTTTCCTTAATTTCAGGAAAATATTTGTATCTAGCTAAATGGATCGCATACATATTGGACACTGAACCACCTGCAAAAACAAAATTAAAACGGCATATTAACAGCATAAAATCATAGCTCCCTAAGCGTCAAAACCAGGGGAAAACATGAATGGCTATGGCTGTTCTCACCTAAGGACAAGTCACTGTGAAAGTCACCATCCCCACCCTCTATGCTGAATATTCCACTTCATACTCCCTAGTCTATAGTTCCAGAACATTCAGACTTAACAAGAGAGAAATCTGACGGTATTCTCTCATTCCACAATTTTCCCAAACTAAAAGTATTTTTTCCCCATGCATTCACCAGAGACAGACTGACACAGAATGAGAGGAAAAAGCCATAACCCCTCCCTGAGGAATGATCATACCACAATCCCTCCTCTTCCATCTCTCCCTCCTTTCAAGATTTGGGCATGGATGTACACGCGCTCAGTGTTTCTCAAGCTTCTGGGTCTGAGACTCAAGCTATAGTCCGCCATATGTGATCTGGCCACCCCAAGCACCAGGCCATGGAGCTGGACCGAAAACTAAAAGTTTCTGTCTATGAGCCCATGTTTGGACTTAGGGCCTGTACTCAAGTTTTCATAGTTTATCATTTCTTTCTGCCACCAGATTGATAGTATTAAAGTGACAATACATACTCATCTCTGGCTTCAAAAATTAATTATAGGATAAATGTGATTCAAAGTCCTCCTCAAGTAAATGTGATTTAAAATTTGGAGGACTTACCATAGCCCTTCCAAACTCCCAACAGCAGATAAATTCATTTGTGTTAGATATAAATCCTAAATGGTTGACATCTCATTTGTTAAGCATGTATGTCATTTACTTCGCAATTACACAGAATATTACCACTCCAAAGGAAGGAATGGCATTACTGCTATCCAATTATCTGTAATATATTAATCTGTAAAGAGTTATTCCTTTTATAAATAAACTTTAAGATGCACATAGTGGAAGGGCGACGGCAATAACTAATTGTACTCACCTGGGTTAAATATTCCATCCCCTTCTTTCCAGCCAACAAATTCAATCATTTTCTTCAGAATCGCTTCTTCCACTAACAGAAACACTGGGGACACCTCATACGTATAACTAGGTAGATATAAAAAAGGCTTCACTTCTATGACTAGAGTCAAAACATCCCTTTGATGTCCCAAGAAATGCACATAGAGTTTTATTAAACTAAGCGGCTGCTGAAGTGGAGGTAGTCTTTGGAAATTTATGCATTGGAAATAGAGGATCAGTCCATCTGTGACAATGTTAGTCGTGGTTAGATAAATGCCAACAGCTGGTGGTCTGAGGGATATGCAAAGCTATTTTAGCAGTCTAAATTTAGTGGAAACCTTCAATTCCACGAGGAGATAAAGGAAGAGCATCTGAAAGCTCTGTACAGTCACAAGCAGTGGCCACTGCACACTTCCAATGCTTGTGTTGGATGCTGATGCTGGTTAAAGAGCCACTGTCATGGTAACCAGGTTTTATTAGGTTATTGCTTTGATGATGCTAATAGTCAGCTCTAGATATTCTATATGGAGACTACCTGTCCTGAACTAGGCCTCCGTCCTCCACACTCACTTTTTGTTTGCTTGGATGGGAAGCAGTCTGTGGAACTGACTTCTTATTTGCTGATTGTACTGAAAAGCACAACCCAGATCCTGTCAATGAAGGGCTTGTTGCTCTAGCATGGAATGCTACTGTTAGAGAGCATTGTTCTATCAGGGATTGCCTCAGCTGCAGGGAGCTGCCTCCTTCAAGATCACACCCCTTCCTGTGCAACCCGATAACTGGTTGAGCTGGAAGTTTAAAGGCTTTGGCCATTTGGGCCCAATATCAGACCATTCTGAGGGCCTTTGTAGCTCCAAAAATCTCCATGGGGTCAGCCAAGATTGTCATTGAGTATGCAAGTAACATGAACCGTATCCCTGCTCAATGCTGCATCCTCCTCTCCTCCCATCATCACCCATGTTGATCTCAAGGGTACTCCTTAATGAACATGCTGTTCACTGAACTCCACCTGCAGTGGTTTCCCAGGGTACAAGATTTGCCACAGTTATCATACCTTGTTTTGTAATATTTAAGCCTTTCCAGATAACTTTCAGGTGACATAATAGCTATAATCTCGAGGCTTCTCAGTTAGGTGATGACATTAAATTAGACCTAAATAAATGTGTACTCTATATATGTAAGCTAAGCAGACACATTTATATTTATAGTCATCGGATTTAATACAATTATTTTAACATTTGGATGAGAAAGCTTTGGGATAGAGGCAACAAAATTGAACACCAACTGTGTATCACCTACCTATGCATCAAGCACTCCGCAAATACTATGTCGTTATGAAAACAAGATAGGTTCTGTCTTCAATCATGCTAGGAACTCAGTTTATACACAGCAAAAGTATGTTTTAAAAATGTTTATGTGTATTAGCAAACATAAATGGAATAATCATTCACTTTTTCGGTAAAAACAAATGTTTGCATTAAATCTGAAAACTGGCTCAACTATCAACCTTGACACAGACCTGGAAGTGGAGGAGAGGACAGTAGAGAAGACACTTAGCACCTTAATACTTAGAAAACTTAACTATTACAAAACAAAACAAAACAAAACAAAAAAACAACAACAACAAAAAGAACCTAGATGAGGAGTTAGAAAATCAGTAATATAACAGGAAAGGTTAAAAAACCTGTGTAACTTCACTCTCTTCTGAGTAACTGATCACTTTATATTCCACCCATTGGAAACTGTTTTCTGTTCTCATCACTCCACCAAAACATCTCAAAGGTCACCATTCACACCCAAGTTGCTAACCCAGGGGACAAGTTTTATCTTCCTTTTACTTGAATACTCAACAATATGTGACACTAGACACATTCTTCTTATGACTTCCATGTCTATCTCCTTGATCTCCTCCTTCTTTTATGTCTTCATTGTAGGCTTATTTCCTTTCAACCAATAAATGCTAGATGTCTTCAAGGCCCACTCCTAAGCCTTCTTCTCTTTTCACTCCATAAGCTGCCCTCCAAGCAGCAATTCTCCATTCTGTCTTCTCACTAAAATCACTTATTAAACTTTGTAAATATTAATATATCAATACATAGGACAGTCCCACAAAAATTCAGACTCCATTGTTGTGGGTTGGTACCCAGGCATCAATATATTGGGTTGTTAGAAAAGTCATGATGTATTTTTTTTGTTTTTCTGTGCAAAAACATGACTTTTCCAACAACCCCAATATATATATATATACACACACACACACACATATATTAAGTACCCAGGTTGGTTCTAATGAATACTCAGGGTTGAGAATCAGTAACTTATAAATTTTATCTGTATACCCACGGTATTTCAGTTCCGGACATCATTCAATATCGACTGTAGAAGGGTTTTAGGACTCCTCTTGGATACCAAAATTCTCATAAAAATGGTTAGTACTTGCATGTAACTTATGCACACTCTCCCATATACTTTAAACCATCTCTAGATTACTTATAATGGCTAATATAATGTAAATGCTAATTAAATAGTTGTTATACCATATTTTTAAATTTGCATTTTTTCACTGTAATTTTTTTTATCTGATATTTTTGACAAGCATTTGGTTGAGCTTGTGGGTATTATAGGCTAATTATACCACCATTTGATTATTAACTTCTAGATTTAGCCCTTTCATATAGTTATCAGAATTCCAAGCCCATATATCTCTCAGCTTAGTTGACACATATTCTTGGCTATCTCCAAGTCACTACAACTCAAATGCACACAAATGAACACCAAGTTCTTGATCCTGTACCTCAAACACTTGAAAATCTCCCCCTCTCCCAATGCTTCATAACTCCAAAAATGACACAACTATCAACCGAGCTCTGGAAGCTGGAAACCCAGGCATCAGCCCAGAAACCTTCTCCATCTTATTTTCATTTCCAGGATGTAATATATTGTCCTTTCTGTTTTATCTTCTAAACAGTTTTTCTCTCTATTCCTCCTGTCTAAATCCAATCTACTGTCATCTCTCATTTGACTGAGTTAATACCCTCCTATCTGGCCCCTTCCAATCTATTCCCTATATTTCCAGAAATATTTTCAATAAGCAAATGGCACCTAGTGGCTTAGAAACTTTCAAAGACTTTCCACTGTACTTAAAATTACTTTAAAATATGGTCCATTAGGCCCTGCACTAGACCTGGCTCCTATCTATCTTTCCAGTCTTATCTTTACTACAGTCTCTGTAGCTCTCTCTCAGCGATCCCCACCCAGACCTTTCATGCTGCCTTCTCCCGTAGGGCCTTTGTGAATGTTATTGCATATACTCAGAAATCATCCCTCTCCTTTTCACCTTGTTAATCCATCTTTTAGCTCTTACCTGTCATTTCTTCAGAGTACTCTTTCCTAAGCTCCTAACCAGGAAAAAATGTCCCATTTATATTTAATATCATCATGTGCCTTTCCTTTATATGAGAGTTTAAATTTTATATTTTCATGTGGATCATTTTAATTAAGATTTCTCTTTTTCTCATCTGATTTCATGTTCCCTAAGGGCAGAGTCAAAGTTTATTTTTATTTAAAATGTCTCTCCAGTACGTAGCACAAATAATGACTTTTTATGCAGAGATAAATGAAAAGTTGCTTAATCAACTTCCTTATCTATTAAATGGGAATGATAATACCCATTTTACCCATCTCATAGTACCACTATACAAATCAAACAGCTCTTCAAATAATGTTAAGCGTCATGAGACTATTTCATTATTTATGATGACAATGGTCAAACAAAACCATTAAACAGAAAATCATAAAATAGAATTTCATCTACTTAAAAAGATCTATATATCATTTTCGGTGTAAATTCCAGGCACTTACATGCTTGGATTTAATGCTTCTGTCATAAATCGGGCCACCAAGGCATAATAATCAAGTCCAGCATACAACTGGTTGAAAAATCTTGGGTGATCTATAAATTTAAAACAGAGAAACAATAGAGAGGGGGAAAAAAACTATCAATACAGCAATACTATCAATTAATCTTTCAGACATTGAAAATAGCCAGACACAAAAATGATATACAGCATGATTCCATTTAGTTGGGATATTCTAATTAGCAATGCCCTCTATGGAGCTAGAGGTCAAAAGTCTGTGGTACTTTTAAAAAGGAAGTATTGATCAGGGAGGGGCTTGAGGGAACCTCTAGAATGTTAGAAATGGTCTGTATATTTATCTGGGTGATGGTTTCATATATACTGATACGTACAGATTAACTGAATTGTGCACTTATTATCTGTGGACTTTACTGATTATAAATTGTACCTCAATTTTTAAAAATTCAAATTCCCCATCAACCCCTTTTCTACTGAACAATATGTTTCTAAGTAAAATATGAGCACTCTTAAGAGCTTTGATTTACATGCTCTTCTTTTCTACAACCAGGACCCAAACCAGAACACTTGATAAATATTGCATTGTCAGAAAAGTTATAATGTATTTTTCTATGCAAAAATGCATCATACTTTTCCAGTGACCCAGTGGATTAACTGAACACCATCTAGGTATCACGGCCTGCTACTTTACCTCTGAAAATATCAATATTAACTTCCCTCACTTCAAACACATTTTACTTACCAACAGGGTTCATCTCAGGCTATATGTGGTGAGTGGCCTTTTCATTTTTCAGATTGGACTAGTGAAACTGGCATTATGTAGATGGAGTAAGATGTGAGTCATACGGCCTACGTTCACTTTCTGATTCAACTGCCTTCAAATGCAGTTGCCTTTAAGACTTAAACAACTTCTAGTTCCAATTTTCTATTTTTTTCCTCCTCATATAAAAGGTCTCATAAAGGTTCTTGGCTTTACACAGTGTGAATATTCACACCAAACATCAGGGTAACTGGCTTGACATTCTCAATCATGTGAAGCCCAGCATGACAAAGAACATAGAAACAGAGGGTCTATTTCTAAATTTGAGTATTTGGGAACTATTTTAGCTAATGATCTCTTACTATGACTTACAGGACTGGTTTTAGTTTAGCATAGCTTTGTTTTGTTTTGTTTTTCCTCCTTACACTAGGGGTTTGATTTTTTTAAAAAATCTTAAAAGAAAATATCTTTTCAACTGAAACATGGAAAACTTCCTGTGATCTGGCAAAGGAAATCATGCATTGCTACAAGTAATTTTAATAAGATTTTTTTTTTTTAGTCCTGTGTTAATTTATGATTGATTTCCATGGTAACATTATGGAAAATATCCAGTAAGCTGAAAAATCTACTGCATTAAATGTCATTCTACACTTCTGACATGCACTATAATAATAAGATATGTATCTCTGCTTTTGAAATGCTAACTGGTTTTTTGATACATACACCAAACTTTCCCAAGGGAATATAATCCAATTATTTTTAACCAACATTTTATTATGTTCTTTCCACTAAATTTAGTCCAGTGTCAGAATTCACAAAGCATAATGCCTATATGGTCTTAAGCACTAGGTTACCTTACATCACTCTGAGAAATGCATATTTTAGGAAGTTATTTTTCTACTTTTGAAACTTGTTCACTGGGTACGCAGGACATGAACAGTGAAGTTGGAAAACTACTTCAGTGTAAGCATGCATCACATCACGGTGTGTATGAAAAATCGTAGTGCTATGACATTATTGTGAGACAATCAGAGCAAAATCTTACCATGTATTTATTTTTCTCATATCTGCCTGATGTAGTTTTTATGTTTTGATCCTGCCAGGTTTGATAAAATACTTGGTAAGTACCAACTACAAAGAGTTAATCAGTGCCCTCCAAATAAACATATTCCTACTTAAATATATATATGTGTGTGTGTGTGTGTATATATGTGTGTGTATATATATATGTATATACATATATACTTGCACATTCTGAGCTATCAAGATTTAAAATACTGCAACAAATTTATATAAAACAAATATTATTTGCCAGTTTGGACCAACATGCAATAAGTAGTAGTTATAATATTGGGTTGTTGGGAAAGTCATGACACATTTTTGTACAGAAAAACAGAAAAAATACAACATAATTTTTCCAACAGTCCAATGTATGGGGTCCATTATCAATGGAGGACGCGGATTGGTAAAGAGCAGATAATATTTGTAAATGAACACTAAAACCAAGAGATTGCTTATCACTTTATCCTTGGCCTTGACAACAAATCTGGATTAGGAATTAAATGGAACATTGTTAAGAACATCAGAGCCACCACTTTTTGATCCAGGTTTTTTGTTCCTTAAGCATTATCCTTGTTAGATTTATTAAGAGGTAAACAGGTGCTTTAAAAAGTTAATAACTTGTCAGAAATACAGATGAGGGAAGGAAAGCAAAATTCTTACTAGTTTTGACACTATAATGTATAACATCCTGGCAGAGTTCCAACAGCCTGTGGTGTGGTTCGCCTTTGTCTCTCAACTCCAAATCAACAAGTTGTTTCAGTTGTTCAGGAGGCCGCCATTCACAAACCTGGAGATTTTGCAATGGCACACAATCAATGGAGTGTACACCAGAATCAGGTACTGAGAAAATGTTAAAAGCATGGACCCTTATGAAGCTTCCAGGCAAGTGGGAAAAAACAGACTTAAACATGCAACCATGGTTCGGCATAAAAAGAGCTACAAAAGTAATAGAGTTATTGTTGAGACAAAGCAGGGGCCTCATTTTATATGTTCAAAGTCAAAGATTTCCTAGAGGAACTTAGATCTCAATCATGTCATACACTAAGAGTAGAATGGTTGAGCCAAGGTAAGGGACAGAGTAAGTACAAGGGGTGTCTCAGATGAAAGTAACGAAGGTGAGTTTATGATACATCTGAAAAATTAAATAAATCTAACGTGGCTACAACATGGATTCTGAAGACCAGAAAGGCAAGAAGTAAAGCTGGAATGCTGAAATAACTTCTCAAGTTTCCTCTCTGCTCCAACCATAACCTTGTACAGTCTACTATTAACCCAGTAGCCAGAGTGATCCCCTTAACCTAAGCCATGGCCATCCCTCTGTTCAAATACAACCAATGGTTCCCCATTTCCTTCAACATGTCTTTACAGAGACCTAAACTGTTCTAGTGTGATCCATTTCTCCTGGAAGCATTTCCTGTCTAGCCTCACCGAGCACCACTTCCCCTTGGCTGACTCAGTCCCTGCCACCCTGGCCTCTTTGCTGTTCCTTGAACCCCGGACACTGGGACTCTACTTCAGATTTTCTGCTCTGACTATGCCCTCGGCCTAGAGTGCTCCTCCCCCAGATTTCATCAGATCTACTGTAACTCCCTCACTTCTTTCAAAGCATTGGTCAAATGTCACTTTCTCAATAATGGCAATCTTCATTCCCTTATTAAAAATGACAGTGTGTCCATTATCCCATCTCTGACAGCCCTTCTTTGTCTTCTCTTCCTTCTCCCATAGCACCTACCACGTTCCAGCATATTATGTTCTTCTTTTATCTATTAAATCTCAAATAATCTCCACGAAGGCAGAGCTCTCTATCTCTCTGTTCACAATCCCAAGTAACTAACACAGAGCCTGCCATTATTAGGTGCTCAATAAAGTTATGTTGAATGGACCCAGCCCATGGCATGGTGGTTAAGATGGCTGAATCCCACATGGCAGACTATGTGGTTTGAGTACTAGATTTACTAGCTTGACAAACACTCTGGGCATGTGTGTGTGAGTACCCAAAAATCTCAAAAAGAGGAAGAGATGACGGAGAATTGGGGCATGAACACCCCTCAGCTGGATCGTTCTTACTTTCTTTCTCTCTTTTTCTTTGTCTCTCTCCAGAATTACATATGCCCTCTGGTAGGAATTTAAAAAAAAATACATTTTGAATGAATGAATAAATGGAGAGATAAACAAGGCTGAAATACTGACTGGTTTTATATGGTATGTGACAGAACTTGACTTGGCTCTAAGGAAGTCACTGAAATGTTAAGACAGGGGAATGAAATAATCATGTTTGTGTTTTGACAATAGCTATGGTTGCTATATGGAAATTCCAAGTAAAACTAGATGTAGGAATTTACTATAGTAAGTTCTTGGTATAGTCAAGACCAGGTGACGGTCTGGATGTGGGTTGATGCTGTAGTAATGAAGTATAGAACTTGGAATTCAATTAGATGTCAAGGATGGGAGGGAGGGAAGAGATCAACGTTAATCCTAGAGTTTCCAGCAAGTACTCATGGGTTGGTGGTGGCAAAGGGATAACTGGTTGGGGCGTGGTGATACATTTTGGGCATATTTGGATTAAACCACTTACACAACATCCAAAAAGGGTGTAGCAATTGGCCTGAGGTTCTTATGAAAGATCAGGAACAGAGTACCTGGTATGTAAGATTATATAGCAGTGGATGGGTGATATAGCTCAGAAAGAACCTACAGCAAAGAGAAGATGATGCAAGATCTCTTGACAACTCCACACGTAGAGAATAAGAACAGGTCCTTACGTATGAGATGGAGGACAGGCCCGAGAGAGAATTCAACCAAACAATCAATCAATATTAAAACGAGAGAGAGTGTTAAGAAGACGAATATGGGCCAACCATGTAGCCTGGTAGTTAAAGGAGCTGAATTCTACATAGTGAGCCACAGTTCAAAACCCAGCCTCAGCAGCTTGAAAAATGTGTCATGGCACATGTGTATGTGTGCCCAAAACTCTGACAGGATAAAAAAAATGGAGATGGGATTGTGGAGTTACCATACCCCATTGGGGATGTGCTCTCTCTCTCTCTCTCTCTCTCTCTCTCTCTCTTCTCTCCCTCTCTCTCTCTCTCCATATCTCTCAGACAAGTACATATACTCTCTAGCAAATAGAAAGAAAAAAGAAAGTAGGAGAATATGGTCACTGCTCTCAAATACTGCTGAAATGCCAAATTAGATAAAAACTGAGAAGTGTTCATGATTTACCAACAGGGAGGTTTTCCTGGCAAGAACTGTTCAAGTGAGATAGGTGGGGGGCGGAGGCCAGATTGTGGTGAAGTGAGCATGTAGGAGGTGACAAAATAGAGGGAGGGGGAGAGTGTAGACAGTCTTTCAAAAATTGGCTGTGGAAGGAAGGAGCGAGACAGGAGTGTAGCCAAGGAGCAAGAAGACTGGGCGGCGAAAAGGAGGGGGTAGGGAGATGCAGGAGGAAATATCAAGTGATGTGACATGTATGAAATCAAAGTTGGATGCTCTAACCATGACACACAGAGGTAATCAAAAGTCCCTGAGACAATCAAAAGGAATGGGTACTGATACGCTTGACAACATGAATGAATCTCAAAAGTATTTTGCTGGGACCAGCAGATGATGTATTGGTTATGTTACTGGATTTCCACGGAGTCGACTACAGTTCAAGTCCCAGACCCAATGGCTTAAAACTCATATTGGGCACATGTGCGTGTGTGCTCAAAATCCCAAGAGGAGAATGGAGGAGAAGGGATTGCAGCATGGCCATCTCCCCAGGGGGTGATTTCTTGCTTTCTGTCTCTCTGTCTCTGTTTGTCCAGTGAGTGCATGCGCCCTATAGCAAAAACCTCTCTCAAAGAAAGAAAAAAGGATTTTTCTGAGGGAGAACAGCAAGACTTAAAAGACTACTTATGATATAATTCCATCGATGTGGCATTCTGGGAAAGGTGAAAGTTATAAGAACAAAAACAGATCAGTGGTTTTGAGGGCTAGATGGGAGGGGAAAGGGATGACTAAACTGGGGCCCAGGAAAATTTAGGGGATGATGGAACTGTTCTATGATCTTGGTTGTGGTGATAATTACATGACCTGTCAAAACTCATAGAACTATACACTAAAAGAGATATATTTTACTGAACATAAACTATAACTCAATTTTTCTTAAGGTTTTTGCTATAGGGCCAGTGCACTCACCAACGAGACAAGAGAGGGACAGTGAGAGGGAAAGTGAGAAATCACCCCCTGGGGGGATGGCCATGCTGTAATCTTTACTCCTCCATTCTTCTCCTGGGGTTTTGGGCACACATACACACGTGCCCAGCATGATTTTTCAAGCCACCAGGTCCGGGACTCAAACTGTGGTTGATCATGTGGGAGTCCAGCACTTTAACCACCACACCTTCTGCTGGCCCCTATATTTCAATTTTTAAAAAGCAGCTGAGAAAGAATGTCTCATTTGTGGAAAAATGTAAAAATAAATTAATTAATTTAAAAAGAAAGAAAGAAAGAATGTCTCCTGGAGAGGGCACTGGGAGTAATCATCTTACTAAACGTGGGGATGTTCACACGTCACTCTTTAATGGTGTCCTGTCAGACTCAGTGGTATTAAAAACACCTCCTTCCTCCACCCCGCATAGCTTTTAATGAATAGCCTGCACAACCGCTACATTGTGATTGACTTGTGATGTTTTAATTGACAATTTAGGATTATAAGGCTCCCCCTTCTCATCTTCTCCCAGTAGGCCCCTATGTGAGCACTTCTTTCTAAGAAAAAGGTCCCCCTCACTATACTAAATACTGTCATGGATCACTGGTCAACCGATGGCACAGTGGCAATGCAATGATCCGTGATGTTGGACACACATGGTAAGGTACTATCTTCGGTTCACACCCCAGGGCCTCCTTGTACACTCCAGGTGCACGCAGACATGCCTGCAAGGTGAAAGTTATATTCACCACAGGAAGACCCTGTTGGGAGTGCCTCTCATGGAAGAAATAAACTTTATAATTAATAAAAACATATCTTGTCCTTTTATAGTGCTCTTTCCAATATTTAGCTTCTCAATTTCAACACCCCTAGAACTGGGCAACACATCCCCAACTTCTTGCTGCCAACCAAAATCTCCCTTAACCTTTAGATTCTACATCAAAGCTCAGAACACCCACTCCTCTGGGAAATCCCAAAGGTCCGCCATGATCTCATAGTATTTATCACATTTTCATTGGGATCCTTTCTTCCCTTTTTTCAATAAAAATTTATCCTTCCAATTAGATTATAAATGTTGTTCAAAGCTGAAACTTTAATCTTATTTTTATTTACATCCTCCAGGGCTAAATATACTCCCTTAGCCATAGCTAACACTCAATTAATATTTAACGACTGAATAAAGGTCAGTTTAGAAAAAAAATGCCAGAGGAGCAGCATACTCTAAAGTAAGGCAGGTCCAAAGTGTTTCACAAGAAAAAAGAAGACCAGAAAATACACAATTATAAATATATAATCTGGATTGGTAAAAAATGCTATCAGTGATTTTGCTTAAACATGACTATTCCAAGTTCACAGGTCATGTCAGTCTATTTTCTGATTAGTTTTTCTAAATGCATGTGATTGAAAATTCAGAAGAGGGGCTAGAAGATGGCATAGCAGTTATGTTACTGGACTCCCACCTGGATGACTGCAGTTGAAGTCCCAGACCGGTGGCTTGAAATACATGCTGAGTGTTTGTGCATGCATACTCAAGATCCTGGGAGGAGAATGGAGGATAAGGATTGAAGCATGACCATCCACCCCGGGAGGTAATTCTCACTTTCCCTCTCCCCATCTCTCTCTCTCTCCAGCAAGCACACATGCCCTAAGATAAAAATAACCTCTTTTAAAAAGTCAGAATAAATACCACTTCACATTTGAAATCTTTTTTGTTTGTTTTTTGTTATAGGGTACATGCACTCACTAGAGAGAGACAGAGAGAGAGAAAGGAAAAGTGAGAAATCATGTCCCATGGGGGGATGTCCAAGCTATCATCTCTTCTCCTCCAGTCTCCTCTCAGAATTTTGGGCACCCACACACATAGGCCCAGTTTTTAGGGTCCAAGACTTGAACCAGGCAGCCAGCCATGTAGGATCCAGTGCCTGAACCCCACGCCACCTACTGACCCAACATTTAAAATCTTCTTAAAATCACATTTATTTCTGATTAATACAAAAATCTCTTCTATGTGCCAATTTGTTTGTAATCATTTTCCACATAAAAAGTGATCAATATGATAGAGGATAATTTAGTGATTTTTAGAAGTCACATGGAAACTATTCCATAGTATGTATGTGCCACAGTTTTTCAACCCAGTCATCAGTTTTTAGACACTGAGGTTGATTCTATGTTTTAGCAATTGTGCACAATGCTGTAATACACATGGATTGCAAGTGTCACCCATAAGAAACAATAAGACTTACTGTTTGATTTCAAGTAGATGAATATGAAGAACTTAATGATAAGCAAAGTGAGATAGACTTTGAAAGATACACACTGTATATCTCCACTTCATAAGTACCAAATGCCTGCACTCTATGGCAGACATGGACGGATCGGAGGCTATGATAGTAGAGAGGATAAGTGTAAATACCAGAGACTGTAAGGGAGGGGAGTAGGTGGTAGAAGGTAGGTGGGAAGGGCAAAGGGAAGAAACATTAACAGACAGAAGAATGTAAAGTTCTCTGTTGAAAACAAATTTTGTAACTTTTGCTTTATAAACATTATTTTTAGAGAGATTTTCACTATAGTGCATATGTGCTTACACAGAGACAGAGACAGCAAGTGAAAAATCACTTACCAAGGGGGCTGGCCACACAATACTTTCTCCTCCATTCTCCTCTCGGGATTTTGGGCACACATGCATGCATGCCTAGCATGAGGTTTAAGCCACCAGGACTCAGACTGTGGCCGACTACATGGGAGTCCAGCGACTTAACCATTACACCATCTGCTTGTCTCCCACATTATAAGCATTTTAAAGGAGTCATATGGAAAAGTAGTCAGGAGCACAGGCTCTGAAGTCAGACTGCTAGCTTTGATATTTACTAGCATGTGGTCATTGGCAAGATATTTGATCCCTTTGTGCCACATTTTCTTCCTCGTCTCTAAAACGGGAATAATAAATAATATCTACCTTTCAGGATTCTTGTAAAGATGAAATACACAAATCTGTGTGGAGTCGCTTTTAGAACACCTTTCACACAGTAAGTACCCCCTGAGAGTAGTAGTTCTAATATCAGTTTGATTCTGAATTTGAGCCTGAATTTAAAACCTAGATCCAGTGGGGCCAGCAGATTGCATAACGGTTATATCACTGGACTCCCATGT